AAATTTGACTGCTTTCTCCTGTTTAGAACTTCTAACCCAAGGGATCTGGAACTCCCACCACCACTCAGTTGTCATGCACACCTCTGAGAACCCCACCAGCCCATCTCTTTGGAAACCAGGCTCTTTTTGATCTGTTGCCCTGGGCTTATGATATTGTGGACTAACTCTGCTTAGTTGTGGTTGGATGTAACGTGCACAATAAATCTCTTCTGCTGTGTTAGCTGAAGAATTAAAAAAACAAACAAACAAGAAAACAAACTGCCATCCTTAGTCTTTAGCACTTCAAAGAAGACTTTGACAGCATTTTTTTTCCTACTACAACATGTCTTGATTTTTTGCCTGCTGTTACTATGTGTGCTAATTGTGGATTCAAATAAAATGAAATCGTTGACAACTTAAATCTTCTCTCCATCTATCATGATATTGCTTCTTTGTCCAGTGCTGAGAATTTTTGCTTTCTTGATGCTGAAGTATAATCCATATTGAAGACTATATATACTCTAGAAATGGTTAGTCTTCTCTTATTGTGCACATTAATTTCAAAAGAATAATTTTCCTACAACCAGAAGAAACGAAAACAAATGAATGGGACCTTCTAAGAATCAAATCTCTATGCACATTAAAAAACTTTCCCAACAGGATAAGAAGGAAACCTACAAACTGGGGGAAAATATTTGGTAATGACATATCTGATAAGGGACTTATATCTAAAATTTATAGAATACACCAGCACCTCAATAAGAAAAAGATAAACAACCCAATCACAAAATGAACACAGAGTATGAATAGACACTACACCAAAGAAGACATTCAGATGGCAAAGACACACATGAAGAAATTGCTATCAGAGAGATGCAAATCAAAACAACTATGAGATAGCCTCTTATCCCAGCAACAATAGCAAAGTTCAAAAGGCGAGCAAGCAACAAATGCTGGGAAGGTTGTAAAGAGAGAGCAAGTTTTATTCACTGCTGATGGGAATGTAAAATGGTAAAGCCACTATGGAAGACAGTCTAGCACTTTCTCAAAAATTTGGAAATAGACATACCATTTAACCCAGCAATTGCACTCCTGGAAATATACCCTAAAGAGACCTGAGCCACCACTCAAGTAGATGTAGACACACCCATGTTTATAGCTATGTTAGTCACAACAGCAAAGATATGGAAGCACCCAAGTGTCCCATCAACAAATGAATGGATAGAAAAACTGTGGTATAATCACATAAAGGAATATTATGCAGCATTGAAAAACAATGAACTAATAACATTTTACATAACAGAGGAACCTGGAGAACATTATATTGAGTGAAATATCTTATTCACAAAAGGACAAATACCACATGACACTGTTTTTATAAAATGGGACAAACATGAAGGGTTGGGGTAAGGATAAGAAAAGGATAGATAGATATTGAGCACCGCATTAGATCAGATGAAGAGAAGAACTGTCCAAAAGGAATATATTACTAGCCATTATATGTATGACAACACTCTAGAAAAAAGGGCTAGGGGAGGAGAAAAAGAAAGGGGAAAGAAAATGTGCAACAGTGGGAAAAAATTAACATTTTCAGTATTTTTTAAAAAGATCTTTTTACCTGAGGTATTAGAACATGTTAGCTTCACATTATTAGAAAATTGTAAAAGTTGGTTTTCTGTTACTTTATTGTCAGTTGCAAAATGAGTACATGAATGACCAGCCAAACAAATGCTTGACAGAGATATAAATAAAGTCTGGTGTGATGTAAATTAGTCAAGAAACTAGTATCAATTGTATGATTATTGAAGGCCCTTTCAAGGAGCAATCATTTAAGCTGAGATTGTACTGACAGCTCAGAATTTTACACTCTATTTTAAAAACATAAAAGATCCTCAACAAGGTGGACCGGCAGAGTCACTGTAAGGTTCTGAAATGTTGTTCATGGAGTTTCTATGCATAGTAGTATGAGTTGTATGTCATTTTTCACAGCTAGAACTTTCCAGAGCATTAACATTTTGATTACTTTTCTAAACAGTTCAGAAATAGTTTCACTGGTCTCTTCAAATATATAAAGCATGTTTCTTTTCCTATATAAAATGTGATTAACTATTAGAGATAGTATGCTTGGGAGAACAACCTTCTGAGTTAAAACCTAATGGAAAAACTTACTGGAATAGTTTTGGAAAGCTGAGGTTTCTAAGTGGCAGTGTATTAATGGAATTTCATATTGACTTGACCTTTCTACATTTACCCATGGCTAATAACAATTTCCTTACAGAGAAGAGAAGCAATTTTCAACCCATGCCTATTATATAACTAGAATCTATTGATATTACTTGCTCCTGTCTATGGAATTGCTGAGGAAAGGATCATTCTAATAGAATCTAAAATTCATGCATATGTTCTTTATTAAAGACTTGATAGCATTCTTCTTTGCAAATAATTTCCTAAATAACCTATTTTAACAAATTTAGTTTACTCTTGCTAAATAAAAGAATACTTTTATTTGTGTATGTTGGCTAGATGATTCTAAAGTTTGAATAATCTTAGATTGAAATATTCTGGATTTTTTTTCAGCTGATCAAAATGAGACTTTTATTTACTATAATTTTATCATCTTGATTATATTGAGGTCTTACTTTCTGAATTTAGAATATCCTTAGAAACCTTGAGTTTAAAATGCCATGCCATGTATATAAATATATATAAGGGAAAAGAAATAGGTTAGTTTTTTCCAATGATGAGAGATTATAATTAATGTTTTACATAAGCATATGCTCTTTAGCTGTGAATATCTGATTGAAGCAATTGTTTTAACAGAACAAAAGGAAAATGCATGGTTTAACATTATGGAAGCTGTGCTTTAGAGTGTGTCCGATGACCATACTTATTCAGTCTATATGCTGAGAAAAATTAAGCAATAAATAATTTAAAAGTATTCAAAATCAAGAAGCTAGACTATATAAATGAGAACACAAAATCAGGATTGGGGAAAGTCACTTAAAAAACCTGCTATATGCAGATGATGTAACCTTGCTGAAGGCAAAGAGAAATAGAAGATTTTACTAATGAATATGAAAGACTTCTGTATAGATTACACCTCAACATAAATAAAACAAAAATTCTCACAGAAACACGATAAACTGAAAAGATCAACATTGTCAATGATTTGTTTGACTTTAGATCCACAACCCCCATGGAAGCAACAGTCAAAAAATCAAAGGATTTATTACATTGGCATATGGGCTGCAGAAGACCTCTAGAAAGGGTTAAGAAGCAAAGATATTATTTTGAGGACTGGCTAATGTGTGCTTGACCCAAGCCATGGATATGTTCATTCAGCCCATATGCATAGGAAAGCTGGACAATAAAGAAAAGCAAAGAATTTTTGCATTTGAATTGTGATTTTGTCAAAGAATATTGGTGTAATTTCAGGGACTGCCAGGCGAATGAAAAATAAATCTTGTCTTAGAATTACAGTAAGATTGCTCCTTAGAAATGAGAATGTCAGGATTCTGTCTCATAAGAGACAGCATGTTATCAGCGGGGACCAGTCTCTGGAGAAGAACTTCATGCTCTGTAAAGTAATTGTTTTTGTTCTTTGTTGTCAAATGCACTGCAATACACAGTGACCCTATGAACAACAGATTTGACCAGTACCTTTGCCTGTGCCATCCTCACCATCTGTGACACATTCAAACTCGTTGCTACAGTCACCATGTCAATCCTTCTTATTGAGGGTCTTCCTCTCCTATGCTGACTTTTTACGTTTCCATCTCCAAGCCTGATGCCGTTCTCCATGTTGTTACTGGTTTGGATGGCTCCTCCTCCTCAGGCTCATGGGAGGCTCTCCTTGCCAGAAGGCAGGAGCGTGGCGGTGGGAGTGCAGGAATCGTGGCAAGCTTTTGGTTCAAATTGTCTTCCTGTCAAACATTCTTCTTGGTGGTATCACTGGTCTGTGCGTTGCTGTACAGAGGTAACTCGTGTTGCTGTGATGCTGAAGCCGGTGACAGTGATGTGCCAATCGTGGTAATGGGCACCCATGGTGGACAGTGTTGGCTGGAGCTTCCCGACTAAATCAAGCCTGGAAGCAGGAGTGGCATCCACTTCCAAAATGGCTTGCCTCCGGAAACTCTGTGCACGAACAGTGCTCAAGGCTGTTCGTTCATAGGGTCGCTATGAGTCATCTACGACTCGACGGCATTAAACAACAACAACAACAAGTCTGATGCCATTCTCCAAGGATTCCCCCTCCCTCCCTGCCCCCAACAACGCATTCAAAGTATGTGAGACGTTTCACCGTTTCACCTTCATTGCTTCCAAGGAGTACTCTGGTTTCACTTTCTCAACAAACCTGTTTGTTCTCTTGGCAGAATATCCTTTATTCAGTACTCTTCAACACCACAACTTAGAGCCATGGCTTGGTAAAGTCCTAACTCAAAACCAATTTCCAGTAAGTTAGAATCAATTCACAGCTGATCCTTTAGCAGATTTTCAGAGCCTGGAAATTGCACAGGAGGAGATGCTGCTCCTGTGGAACAGTGGGTGGATTTGAACTGACAGAATCATTACTTTTCGGCTAGCAGCCTTTGGGTTAGCAACTCCCTCCAGGCTATGTACTAGAGCTCCCTTTGGTAAAGGGGAGAATTGGTTACAGATAGAAAGACCTGTACAAAAAGGAAAGAATCTTTTTAAAGAGAAAAGCTAACTCAGGGGGAGGGGAGTGTGTGTGGGGGGGAGGGAACATATGCAACAGTAAATGAATGGAAATCTAAGTTTTCTAGAAGCTTTCATTATAATATCAATGATAAATAAATAAATAGGAAAACCCCTCAATGAGATGGCTCAAATGTAGCTATGATTGTGAGAATCCATGATACATGTATGACCTGGCATTGTTTTTTTCTTTTTTATATTTGATTACTATTATTTGAACCAACTTGACAATACCTAGAAAAACATTTGATTTTGATTTCTCAAGTATTTACTTTATTTTTCAATTTTCCCCTTATTCTTTAGACATGTTTTTAGCCCGGAAGAGTCTCTGTTCTCTTGAGAGGAGAGCAAAATCCCTGAAGACAATTTATCCCTCAAACATACTTGGATTCTCTACTTCTGCTGTAAGTATTTCCTATCTCTTAGAGATTTTATACATATTCTGCATTGTCCCCAAAAATCAATTATGTGCTTTTCATTAATAATATACTGGAATGAATATTTGTATTATGTAAGTTAAAGTTGTCTTTAGTCTTGGCTAGAAATTACCTTCCTGAACAACTGCCTGCTTGTCTATCAATTATGCTTTGTGCTGGGTGTTATACATTTATTATCTAATTTTGTCTTCACAAAACCATTCACGTTATATGTTGTTATATGCCTCTAAATTTAGTAACTTGTCTGAGGCCACATAATTTTTAAGTTATTTTTGTTGAGTAGCTTCAAGTTATTGATGTTGAGTAACATCAAGTGGGAAAAACTAACTTGGCACTTCTCAAGCAGAAAGAACTGAAAAACAGATTTAAGCCTTGAGTTGCAATATTGAAAGATGCTATGGGCAATATACTGAATGACCCAGGAAGCATCAAAACAAGAAGGAAGGAATACTGAGTCACTGTCCAAAAAAGAATTGATTGACACTGAAAAATTTTAGTAACTTCCATGTAAGCAGGAGCCAATGGCAATGAAGGAGGAAGTGGCCACTGCATTGAAAGCATTGACAAAAAAATAAGGCCCCAAGAATCAATGGGATACCAATTGACTTGTTTCAATTAACAAATGCAGCACTGGATACACTCACCAATCTATGTCAGGAAATTTGGAGGACAACTGTCTGCCCAACGTATTGGAAGAGGCCCATATTCCCATTCCCAAGAAAGGTGATCCAACAGAATGTGGAGGCTATTGAACAATATCATTAATGCCACGTGCAAGCAATATATTGCTGAAGATCGTTTAAGTGCAAAGATGTCAGTCTGAAGACTAAGATGTGTCTGATACCCGCCATGATCTTTGTAATTACTTGCTATGCATCAGAGAGCAGGACAATGACTAGGGATGATAGAAGGAGAATTGATGCCTTTGAGCTGTGCTGTTAGAGAAGAGTGTTGACTGCTAGAAAAACAAACAGGTTTGTCCTGGAGATGGTGAAGCTGGGATGGTCCTTGGAGGCAAGGATTCTGAAGCTTCATCTGATATACTTTGGACATGTTGCAAGGAGGGACCAGTCCTTGGAGAGGGACGTCATGCTTGGGAGGGTAAAGGGACAGTGCAGGAGAGGAAGACCCTTGATGAGATGGATTGATTCAGTGACTGGGGTAATGGGGGTAGGTGTGTCAGAGACGGTGAGATTGGCACAGGATAGGCCAGATTTCAGAGCTGTTGTACATAGGGTCACTATGAGTCGCAGGTGACTCGACAGCACATAACAACAACAGAACAGTATATAGATAGGGAATTGCCAGAAGTTCAAGCATGATTTAAAAGAGGCTGTGGCACTAGGCATATCATTGTTGATGTTGGATGGATCCTGGCTGAAAATAAAAAATACCAGAAGAATGTCTGTTTATGCTTTAGTGAGTGCACAAAGGCATTTGACTGTGTGGGTCATACCAAGTTGTGGCTGACATTGAGAAGAATGGAAATCACAGAGCACTTAATTATACTTATGCAAAACTTGCACCAAACCAAGAGGCTGTTGTGTGAACAGAATAGGGGAACACTACATGGTTTAAAATTAAGAAAGGAGTTCATCAGGGTTGTTTTCTCTCTCCATGCTTATTCAGTCTGTATGCTGAACAAATTATTCATATTATAAAGAAGGTGGACTCTATGAAAAAATAATGTGAAATTAAAATTGGAGGAAAATTCGTCAATCACCTGGATTATGCAGATGACACAACCTTGCTTGCAGAAAGTGAGAAGGACTTGAAACACTTGTTGCAGAATATCAAATAAAATAATCTTCAATATGGATTGCGTCTCAACATCAAGAAAACCAAAATTCCTACTACTGGACCTATAGACAACATCATGATAGATGGAGAAAAGATTGAAATTGTTAACAACTCACCTTACTTGGATCCACAGCCAAAACCCTTAGTACCAGCAGTTAGAAAATCAGGAAACATATGGGCAAGTCTGCAATTAGGGACCTCTCCAAATTATTGAGGAGTAATGATGTGAGTTTGTAGACTAAGGTGCATCTCTTTCAAGGTATGGTCTTTCTATTCACTTGCAATAAAATCTGAGAGCTGGACAATGAATAAGAATGACAGAAGAAGTATCGGTGCCTTTGAGCTGTGGTGTTGGAGGAGAGCACTGAACATCCCATGAACTACCAAAATAACAAATATGTCCCAGAGAGGGCACAGCCAGAGTGCTCTTTGGAGGCAAAGATGATGAAGCTTCGCCTCACTTACTATGAGCATGGTACTAGGAAGGGTTATTCCTTAGAGAGGAACATAATACGTGGAAAGGCAGAGGATTGGTGAAGGAGAGGAAGACCCTCAACCAGGTGGATAGACACAGTGACTGCTGCATTGAGCTCTAGTGTGTCAGGAAGTATGGAGATGGCATGGGATAGGACAGAGGTCAGATCTGTTCTTGTTCATAGGGTTACTATGGTTCATACTCTACTTGAAGGCACCTAACAACAAGAAACATCAAGATGATTTTGACTCATAGTCATTTCAAGTTACAAAGTAGAATTGTCTCATAGGGTTTTCTAGGCTGTGAGCAGATCACTGGTCTGTAGTGTGTGTGTTATGCTGCTAACCCAACAGCCAAAGGTTTCAGTGATTTAAATCCACCAACAGCGCTGATGGAGAAAGATGGGAAATCTCTCCCAGTTAAAATTTACAGCCTCAGAAACCTGATAAAGAGTCTCATGAGTCAGAACTGACTTAACATCAGTGAGTTGAAATATTTAGAATTCTAGTCTTCCTCTTTATTGCTATCTTGACAATCTTAGTTCAGTCCTTCTTCCATAGATAAAAGTTAGGTGACGAAGGTGTACAGAATTATTCCCTAGGAAGTTCGAGCTTTGTTTGGTTTTTGTTGTTGTTGTTTTGTCTTTTTTTCAGAATGCACGTTCCTAGGATTCCTACTGAGATATTCTGACTCTAAGTCTGCTTTACTTTTGAAAAAGCTTTCCAAATAATTCTGATGCCATCTGTAGGTAAGAAACACTGATGATCTATTACTCAGACTTGCAGATAATCTGAGACAGAATTCAGCTCTTTCCATCTTTAAACAGCATCAAAGAGTCCCGACAGTTGAGCAGAGTTTTTTTCATTGAGTTAAAACAGTTGGATAAATGTTGTTCTTATTGATGAGAAAACACTAAAGGATGACTTGTTATTATGCTGCATGCCATTCAGTCAGCTCTTCTTACTCAGAGTGACCCCTATGGATGAGAGAATAAACCCTGCCCAACCCTGCAACCTCACAGTGTCTCCTGTGCTTAAGCCCATTGGTGCAGTCACTATGTCAGTCCACCTCTTTGAGGATCTTCCTCTTTTCCAAAGTCTTTCATCTTTTCCAAGATGTCCTTTTAAAGGAACAGAAAGAGTAGAAGCCATAAATCCAAATCAAGGTATACCAGAACAAGCCAGATTATTTTGCTATAAGCTTATTTATATTGGAATATGGCTACTGTAAAATCCTATTCATCATACCAACTTTGTATAACTGAAACTTCCTACAGAGGTTAACAGAACTAGGCATTAGGGACTTTAAGACATTGACAGGACAGAGATAGACAAGTTACTGCAGAGTGAAGAGTAACATCAGCATGGTGCACCCTCTTCCAAATTATAGAATCATCATTATAGGTAGGGCTACTTTAACGACTGTGATTGACAGTTTTAAATTTAAAACTTACAGAATTGGTTCTGCGGCTCCTGCCACGTGTTGTGGTTGTGGTTGGTACTGTGACTTGCGAGAACCCTTAAGGAATGCTTAGGCACACTTTCTGGTTCTACTAGTAAAACTTTCCTTACTGGCAGCAGTGTTTTCAATTGCAATTTCCCTGACATCAAAACCACATGACTGGTTTGACGGTTGGGATAAAAACCTGAAATGGTACCTGAGTTTATGCCAAGAATTGGAATGGAACTAGGGCTTCACTGCAGACATCAGCCTTCCAGATGCCAAGTAGTTCAGATTAAAATCTAAGCTTAAAAAGCTCTAATACAATAAGCAGATTTTGGAAACAAAGAATTTAGGAATTGCTGCTGTTGTTGTTGATTGCCATCAAGTTAAGCACGACTCACAAAGACTTTATAAACAAAAGACCTAATACCTTTCCATAACTGTCATCATTTCCCCAAGTTTGTAAAGTTTCCAGAGGCATGTGGTTTAGTAAGTGGATGCTACTCCTGCTTCCAAACCTGTTTTACAACTGGGAGCTCCACCAAAAACTGTCCACATTGGGAAAACATTATGGTATTTGATA